ATCATCATACATGTGATCACTTGTTGCCTTTTAATTCTCTCTTTTCTGCATCGGCTACTAAAACAAAGCTCCTAACAGTGTCTTTCACTAGAAACATCATAGCAAATATCTGACCCTGCAGGAAGATTGATTAGTTGTTATAGTCAGAACTCGCAAAGATCATGCAAGGCCAAAGAAGAAAATAGAGTTGTAATATAAATTTTAAAAAGAGAAAGACAGCGCTGCCAATTAATCATGGAGGAGAAAATACAAAGTTTTATCTCTGCTTCATTCCTAACCCTGTCAAACAAATTAAGAGAAAAAGACGTGATGCCTCAAGGATAAAGAGTACAGGAGAGTAGACAACAGCAAGTGAAAAATAAAGACAAAATCTTGGAATCTGAAAAAAAGAGGGATGAATGATCAGTAATCTAGCATGCCAGAGAAAGTTAAAAACTAAACGTCTGTATTAAGCATAGCCAACAAGTTGTACATCAATTCTACAGAAAGATCCAGGAATTGGGAAGGCAGGATACAGGGTGAAGCTGAAACGGTAAAACTAATTCTTCTCCATGTGAGTTTCATCTCTCTCTGTCTAGTCTCTCTGCATGGGCTAATTTTGATCCTTTACAGTAGAATTGTTGGGTTCCAAGAGCAAGTGTCCCAAAAGCGAAAGAGCCAAATGGAAGCTGATTTTTTTCTTTCTTTCATTTTTAAATGATCTAGCCTCAGAATTAACATAACATCACTTCTGCTATAATATTAGTAGCTACAAGTTCCTGCTCAGATTAAGAGGAGACAACACAGACTCCTACCTCTTAGTGAGAAGAGTGTCAGTCACCCTGTAAGAAGAAAATGTGAGATGGGATATATTCATCTGTACAGCTGTCTTTGGAAAATAAAATCTACCTACTTTGATAAAGAAACAGAGGCCCAGAGAAGTCTGTGTTATCCAAATCACAGTCAATAGCAGAGTAAGACTAGAAACTAGAAATTTTAACTCCTATTCCATGTTTCTTCCACAAACTCAACTTGACTCTTAATTTTATAAAATTCACACTGGTGAGAATATAGAATTAACGGATAGAGAAAATTTAGTATAGGAAAATTCTGACCTGAACCCTAGGTAAGATTTTCATGATTCAGTGAGTTCAGGCCATAAAAAAAGCTATTATTCACCAGTAGAGCTATGAAAGTTAGGAAATCCTAGAAAGGAATTTTTAATAATTTCCAAACTAAAAAAAAAGTTAATGACATCAATGGAGGGAAGATTTATAAGTCATACTTCCTCATTGTTGAATTTTATGGCTTTCTAAAAATATATAGACAGTTTCATTCTTTTTTTCAGAGAGACTAATACAAACAATTCTAGTGTGAATTAACTAGCAACAGGAATCAGGTATAGTTTTCTAAGCAAGTTAAATTCTAACAGTCTTACTCATTTTGATATGTTTTACTCTGCTAATTTATATATTTAAAGTAATGGATTAATTAGGCTGGGCGTGGTGTTTCATATCTGTAATCCCAGCACTTTGGGAGGCTGAGGCAGGTAGATCACTTGAGGTCAGGAGTTCGAGACCAGCCTGGCCAACATGGTGAAACCCTGTTTCTACTAAAAATACAAAAAATTAGCCGGGAATGGTGGTGCGTGACTGTAATCCCAGCTACTTGGGAGGCTGAGGCCAAAGAATCACTTGAACCTGGGAGGTAGAGGCTGCAGTGAGCTGAGAACACACTACTGAACTTCAGCCTGGGCAGCACAGTGAGACTCTGTCTCAAAAAAATAAAATTAAATTAAAAAATAATGTATTAATTAGAAGCTAGTTATTGTAATGAACCAAAGTGTCATCTTAAGACAGCTATAAATCACCAGAACAGAAGAGAACAATTTAAAAAGGACATTAGGGAATTTTGCTTCTAGCTATGCTAGAGTAACTTGCATAAGACCAACCCTCCTGCCAGGAATAGCTATAAATCTCAATAAGCTACTAAAGGAAGTCATTTTCCAAGGCACTGGAGAGTGACCAAGGCTTCCAGAGCTTGAGAGCTAACCCTCGAGAGAAAGAAAACGCACTAAGGTGACCATGACACTTCCTATGACCTTTGATTTTAAGACACTTAACAATTCCAAAAAGGCTCAGGGATAAGAGGTCAAGGAGAAAACAGTGGCTCAGTGATTTTATCAGTCTTATAGGCATAGAAAGATAAAAATTAGAATTTAGGATAGCCAGTAGTTAGAAGAACCAGGGTCAAGGATTTAAAAAAAAAATCACAGAAGTGAGTTGGACACTCCTGGCCACTTTTCCCCTTGAGAGATTTGCCAATTCCTAAACCATAAAATGTGAGAAGCCAAGCAGAAAGCAACAGCTAAGAGGCTAAATCTAAGCAGGCTATTAGCTGTCTTTTGGTGCTAGAGAGATAAAAATTGAATTTTTGGGTTCACCAATGAAAAGATCATCTGATAAACACCTGAGGCTTTCTGATCAGATCCCTCAAAGGCTATGCCTTTGCTGTAAAGCAAAACAGAAAGACCAGCTCTCATAAAGACTTAAATACAGCCTTGAATTATCTTCATCCCTGATCAAAGCTACCAAAACCTTCTACATTTCTCTTACTCTACCTACTATTAAAATACATACATATATATGTATTACATATATATATGTGTGTGTATTTTATATATATATGTATATATAAATACATATATATATTTATATATATACACACACATATATACATATATATATATATATATATATATATATATATATATATTTCTACCGGGAGTAGTATAACATCATCCAGAGCTTTACAATTTTTTAAATTCAATGTCTACATTTCATTTTTTAAAATTACTAATGATGATAGGAAATAGAAACAAATGACAAAACCCAAGATTTAAAAAAAAAAATCACAAAATAAACAGTAGACCAAAAGATGATCCAGATATTGGAGCTATCAGAGGAAGACTTTAAAATTATTTTTATCAATATTTTCAATAAGATAAATGACACTATGGAGAATTTTATCAAGCAACTGGAATCTGTAAAATTCAATTGCTGAAAATAAAGGCTCGATTAATAAACAGGGTTAAAGACACAGAAGAATTACAAACCTGTAAGGGCAATTGAAAAATAACAAGACTAGAACATGGAGAAAAAAGGAATAAAAAATATGAAAAGGACACAAGAAATATATAGAACATGCTAATATTTTTAGTATTTTCAGAGAATTAAAAAGGAATGGTGCAGAAGCTGAATGAGAATTTTCGAAAACTGACAAAAGATCTCAAGTCATGAATTCAAAAAGCTTTTAGAATTCAAGCAGGATGAATACTAACAAAACCACACCTAAATGCGCCATGCAAAACTTGTTAAAACTGAAGTTGGGACAACTCATGGAGGCGGCGGCAGCAGCGGCGGCGGCAGCTGCTTGGCGGTGCGGTGGTGACCGAACTGCGAGCCTGGCGGCGGGTGTGCCCCGGCCCGGCCCCGAGTGCCTCCCAGGCTCTGCGCCCCTGATGCTGCGTGGGTGCTGAGCCCGCTCCGGCCCGGACGATGGTGACGTATTTCCTGGGCCAGAGCGTGCTCCAGAGTTCCTGGGACCAAGTGTTCGCCGCCTTCTGGCAGCGGTACCCGAATCCCTACAGACACAGTACACGGGAGGTGACCCCTGACCAGAGACTGCTGTCCCGGCGACTCCTGACCAAGACCAACAGGATGCCCCGCTGGGCCGAGCGACTGTTTCCTGCCGATGTTGCTCACTCGGTGTACGTCCTGGAGGACTGTATTGTGGACCCACAGAATCAGACCATGACCACCTTCACCTGGAACATCAACCACGCCCGGCCCGTGGTGGTGGAGGAACGATGTGTTTACTGTGTGAACTCTGACAACAGTGGCTGGACCGAAATCCGCCATGAAGCCTGGGTCTCCTCGCTTATTTGGTGTCTCCAGAGCTGTCCAGGAATTCGGTCTTGTCTGGTTCAAAAGCAGCGTGACCAAGGCTATGAAGGGCTTTGAATATATCTTGGCGAAGCTACAAGGCGAGGCCCCTTCCAAAACACTCGTTGAGACAGCCAAGGAAGCCAAGGAGACTGCTAAGGAGACGGCACTGGCAGCTACAGAGAAGGCCAAGGACCTCGCCAGCAAGGCGGCCACCAAGAAGCAGCAGCAGCAGTTTGTGTACCAGCCCCCCACCACCACAGCACCCCAGACAGCTTGGCTTTGCCCCGCTGCCCTCCCTCCATTGTACTTTATCGTTAAAAATCAACTTCCATCCCTATCTACTGTCTGGGTGGTGGGTTGAGAGTATCCAGTTTGGCATCCGCAGTACACAGGCACGTTATCCACGTCTGAGCCAGGTCTGCTTATACTCCCACTGGGAGATGAGGACCCAAGCACAGAGGTGCAGTGACTTGCCTGCAGGTGCACTGGCGATAAATGCCCCACTAGGGCAGGGCTCTTGATTTTGTTCTCTGATGTGTCTCAAGTACCTGGAACAATATCTAGCACATAATAGGCACTCAATAAATACTTGTTGAATTCAAAAAAAAAAAA